CTGAAGAAAAATTCTATCTATTTTATGAAATAGTCTAAATATTAGTAGTATTTCAACTGCTTCCACACTGTCCACATTTTGGGTTTAACTTTTATCATGCCTTAAACCTCCAGGGACAAAGGGAAAATGATGTGCTGCTTTACAAAGTCAGAAAGCCTCTCTTGCTCTCTGTCTAGACTCTCTGCTCAATGTGTGTATGTGTGTGAGCTTATTGTAAGGTAGCTCTATAGACCTAGCAATACAAAGGTATGTTCTAAAGACTGTTCAATTTTGCAGCTGTTCTGAACATACCTTCCTATTTGCACATAAAAATTCTAATTTGTCAGAGATCAAACCCTTCTCAATATGAAGTATGACTTTAAATAAAACATTTGGTTAAATTTATTATCTGCCCTCTCACTATGAAGGACTTAATGAGAAGGACTTAACATGTTGAATTTTTACTGGCACAGATTATATCACTTTTCCATGGTTTAGTAAGTATGGAAATAATCAGAAAACATCTGGACTGATTCTCTGACTTTATATAAGAATTTGCTTCTGAAATGATGTGGTAGATATATAGTAAAACAAAATTTAAAATTAGGTAAACTGAGTTCTTTTCCTGATCATAAAATCAATTAATTCCATGACTCCGGATTCTCTTCTTAAATTTTCTGAGCTTCAGTATCTATTTATGTTGGTTAGGAAAATAAAACACTAAGGTTTTCTTTAACAATCAAATAATAAATTTATAGTTACAGGCAAACATAGTTTATCCAATGTCAATGTAGGCAAGTAAAATGCCGATGTTATACACATACATGAAGATTCAAAATTATTGGTTAGTGTGGGAGAATCTACAATCTCTCATTTAAGCAATCTATGTATTGACTAAATTCTATGAATTAGAATTGTAAGTACCTCCTATTCTTCAGGTCAGTCAACCCAGGAACTCCTAGTGAAAATATCTCAGCAGTTAAATTCTGTTTCTTTTCTCCCAAATATCCCTTGATTCTCTGAATAGTAAGTGCATTGCAATTAAGCTTGCAGAAAACCTAAGTGTCTTTGAAGAGAAGCGATATAGTTGGCCTGAAAAATATGAGAACATTAGAAAAAAGTTATTGGATAAGATAAACATGACTTTATTGGATAGAATTTCAGGCTTACTTAAATTATTTTTTGTTACATAATGACACACAAGAGAAATTAATGCATTTATTTTACCCTGACATTTGCAAATATTTTTTCTTATTTTATAAGGGGTACATGCTTTGGTTGAGTAGGGATAGCAGCAAATTTCTTCCTTCTACATCACTATAATTTGAAGTTAGGATACAATTATTGCCCAGGTCTGTGATGATTGCTAAATCCATCCTTTAAATAGAATGTCTAAGTTATAAGTTTCGGCCTCTCCCTACTTCTATATGTCACTGGAGAAGTTTCTGACAAATGAAAGAGAAAGCTCCTGCTCCTTCAGTGAAAAGCCTTGTGCTAGGAAGCTCTGTGCTAGCTTGGAGTAAAGTTGTCTCAGGCAGTTTTTTTCCTGGTCCTCTGAATCTGTTCAGAAGCAGTTTTCTTCCTTTTCAACATGTAACACTTTGTAATGTCCATATGAGTAAAAGGTCTTTCATTTTTCTCTGCCAGGCTATGCTTCCCCAATTCTTCTATCTATTCATCTATGGGTCTTTTGACAAAATGTTCAAGTTCTAGTTATTTACTTGGGATGGTCATTGCAATGCCTATTTTGAAATGTACTATATCAATTTCAACAGATCACTCTTAATGTGTTTTTTTCCAGTAAAGAATATACTGAAAATATTACTTTTCTGTTTCATATCATTTTTGTTATATAATGACACA